GACCCTTGAAGTGAGCGAGCGAGACTAGTGAAGAAAGGGACTGCGCGCGCCAAAGCCTCCCTGACACGCACAGCATTCGCAGCGAACAAGACTGATAGCGACTAGGTACATCTAATACGCAACAAACTATGCCAAAGATATGTCGCAAAAAAAGCCTAAAAAACGACTGGAATGACGCAACAAAGTAATGCGCTCATTGAACGTATCATACCTGCTACATCGATAGTACATGATACAGTAAGAAGAGGAGCGATGTTGCTGATTTATTATCCAAGCAGTACAGTGCGTTCTCGCAAGTGACTCCTTCCATTTCTATAAATGAGAATAATACGCGCTAGTGGGTTTGCAGTAATGACTCCACATATTTAAAGATACTGAGAGAATTGAAGTCGCAGTAGCAAAAACACTTTCACTAATTTGCCTCACAGCAAAGGGTCGGCGGGTCATTTAAATACGTCGAATTGGCTGCCACTGTAACAGGATTACAACTTGGTTCCGCAACACCAGGTATTGGATTTTTTGAAAAAAGATCTGCCCTATACATAGGGTCTTACCCGCTTATCCTTTCCTTAGGAATATGTTCATACTTCGCGATATGATCATGGGCAGTTTTGTCGCTGCTATGGCGCTCTTTTAGTGCCAGTTTGTCTTTCCGCGTTCGAAGCAGCCGCGGGGTGCGCCCACTCTAACCGTGAGGTGCGCGCACTCTAACACCACTTATCCCACTTCCTACTTTCTGCTTCTTATCAAGCATTGTTCCCATAAACAGTCACGGGAGAGGGCGCTATTGTGGCTGAGAGGACACAGCGTACCTGGGAGGAAGCGGAACAACGGTCCCAACGGCGGGAGGAAGCAGTCGTGATGGCTGCATGTTATTCCCGCTTCCCAGTGCATGCGATAGTGTTCAGAATTCGCAATGACGCGCGTTGACGCGCTGTAGCACACGTCGACGCGCAACAACTGCATCAGCGTCTGAAGCCGTAGACGGGAAGACAGCTGCAGATGGCCTGTGTCACTCGATACCAGTCTGACTAAGCAGCACCGCCCAACGAGCCTTCGTAGAGGAGAGTCGATCGTCGCCGGTAATCTGCGGCTGGGTTTACGCCTATGGCTTTAGGCGCTGTTGTAATTGTAGGCGTCGACGCGCTTACACCGCATCACAGCGCATCACGAAGTCTAAACCCTGCCTAAGCTCTGAAAAGAAAAATATACTTGGAATGTGAGCACCCGTATGACCACAGTGTGGTTGTTTTATAGTATTAATTTTGACAGCCACCTTTTTGAAACAAAATCCTCATATAAGTGAGGAAATGAAAGCTGCATGGGCTCTGGGATACGAATTAAACAACTAACTTCACATTCTTCGACGTTCTGGAACGTACGCATCTCCACTACACAGTTTTCGTCTCCATGTTCCGTTCGACAGTGTTCAACGAGATCTTCTGGATCGCTAAACGAGCCGTTTTGGAAGCACTAATTTGTTCATTTCGGTGGTGATGTCGATACCATGAAATTTCTTCATATGAACGATGAGAACTTCATAGTCCATAAAGCGCTTGCATATGCGACATCGACGAATCCGGCGCCCTTTCGTTCGAAACTCTCTCGGAACCGCTGGGCTTCCACTTGTTGAATTGTCGCCTTTGAAACCCTGCAAACGGTTTGACACACACCTTAAAAGCGATTGCAAAAAGCTAGTATGAACTTAGCTAACCTCCATCGAATCCAGAACCTTGCGGGATAAGTTCGGTGCTGACCTGTATTCGGCGCTGGCCTGTACAGAAAATCCTGAAGCAATTACTCTTTGGCAACAGCAGTGTAGAGGCTGAAATGTGCCAGCATAGCAAAATTCCATGCCGAGAGAAGCTTTTTGCAATTCTACAGAACTCAGAAGATTGTGACATTCTGTAACTAAAAAGAACTTTGTGCAAATTGAGACGACCGGAAACCGAAGAACTTTTGGACCAAAACGCCCATCGATATAGGATTAGCCCTCCGCCACCATTCGCTAAAAGACGCATACATATACTCGAAATCCCTGGGATGTGCAAGGCGGGGCTGTCAAAATGAAAGTGCTTGTGTTTTTGACGAGATATACTCTAGTTCGTAGAGGATGAAGGGGCGTGTCAGGCAGTGTAAGTGTCCCATACATAGTACGAGTGGCGAAAAACCCGCTCTCTGCCAGTTGCTGAAGCGAGTATGCGACGGTTTTCATCGTCTGCGCTTTAAGCTGAAGAACTGACGAAATGAAGAACCGCAGGATTCAGGAACTGCGGGAATAGATCTAATCTTTTGCGTGAACACAGCCTTGAACTCTCCAATCTCCCAAATACGTTTGTATCCAACAACATTTGTAAAACTTGGCTATCAAGCATTTTGTTAAGCACTCATGTTCCCAGGGAGAACCTATTAGAACATATTATCAGCATAAAATAAGCAAAGTACGTGAGATCATAAAGAAGGTGGTTGCCACATTATGACGACATTCACTATGTAGCTTCTGTAACTGCGGACGAGCGCGCCAATTAAAATCAATTCGTCCTCACCTAAAGGATGCACGATGGTTCCCTACTTAGCCTAAAATGCTAGTAGGGCGCTGTATAGTGGGGAAATGGCGAAAGAACGGAGTGAAACGGTCAAAATCCTGCGAAGAAAAAGCCTCCGTTCTCTTGTAAATCGATTTCGGACGAGTTTCCCGTAGGCATCTTACCAATCACCGCTACCGAAGATACGGCTGCATATGTGTACCCATGTATGCATGCAGCATCACGGCCGCTTCATACCAATCCCTTCGCTTCATAATTTGCTTAGCAAATGAATGAATACGAGCGTCAGGAACGGTCGTCCATTTGTGGGCGGGCGGGCGTGGCGGGCGTTTGGGACGTAAAGTTGTGGCTTGATAGGGCCCTTATAAGGGC